TGTGTATCTGAGATGTGAAGCACTTGCTCAGGTGTTTGTCCATGGAGAGAGCTTGCAGGTAAGGATTCTTCAGGTAACTTTAAAAATGAATGCAAGAGGAGACTGCAGAAAAGAGTCTTCCTTTCCTCCCTCCCCCCACCCCAAACTTTGGGACTGAAATCCTAAGTATTTTTAACATTACACATTTTGGTTCTGAATGCACTTTCAACTCCATCAGTCACATAACATGTTTCTGGATTTAGTTTCAGACCAGGTAGTGGAGCTGGATTAATTTGAGTGTTAATGACTGTATATAAGTCGCTAACAGTGTGCAGGGAAAATAAAATTTGAAAAACCCAACACAAACGAACCAACCCTCAAATGCCCAAGATGTCCAGCTTTCAGCAAGCGTAAATTGAAATGTGGGTCTTAAAAAGAGCAATTCTCTTAAGTGCAAGCTTCTGAACTGCACTCCTGTGTTCAAGTAGTAGAAGGCTGCTGGCTTTACAGCAGGATCAGAAATGCTGTCCAAAACCTAACAGTGACTAGTAAGAAATACATAGAAACTAAAGTGATGGCTTTAAAAGGAGGGGGGAAAAAAGGCTTGACAAATTCCCTTTCAGGCTTTCTTAGTAGCTGTTGTGGTACCTGATCCTGAGACTTTGCGCAGCTGGGCCAAGAAAAAGGGATTTGAGGGCTCCTATGACGAGCTATGCAAAAACAAGGTGAGTCATACCTAACTAAAGAGTTAGCTGTTCTGCATCAGCTTTTTCAAGCTCTACAATGTATTTCTGTATCCACAGGACCTCAAAAAACACATTCTGGAAGACATGGTGAGGATTGGGAAAGAATCTGGTTTGAAGTCATTTGAACAGGTGAGAGGCTTGTGAGAACTGATCACCTAATTCTTTAAACTTCTCCACACCAGTATAATCTGACTCTCCAGAAACTGCTTTTAGTTGCATATGGAAAATTTAGGTGATGGGCTATGGTACGATGCGTGGGCAATTTTTTAATAGCCTGATCTATTCTAAGAGATGCAGCTTGGCTAGTAACTGTTTACCTTCCAGGTCAAAGACATTGTCATGCACCCCGAAATGTTTTCTATTGAAAACGGTCTGCTGACACCAACACTGAAGGCGAAGAGACCAGAACTGCGGAAATATTTCCAGTCGCAGATAGATGAACTCTATGCCAATGCCAAGATGTAACTGAGAATGGAGTGAGGAAAGTGGCATGCGTCTGATGTCTACTGTTGGCCTTCATATCTGTAATTTGACTACAGCAAACATAGGGAAGGAAACTGTGCAATCATTAACTTGTACAAAAATGGGTACTTGCCATAGGAACATTGAAGCAATGGAACACTGCCTTACTGTCCAGTTGTGTTGCATACTGTTTTTATGGTGACCTACAACTTCCAAAAAGAGCCTTAACTGTATGTAAGTTATTTAAGACTTCCTTGGCCAAAAATGGGACTCTCCTTCACCAAGGAGCTAAGGTTTTCTTATTGCCAGCATGTTTGCTGTCTGCAGTGTATTTTGTAGTTGTCAATTCCACAAAGGATTTGGCAGGTTTGAAAATGCCTCTAGGTATCTTGCATCCTCAGAAGGATTACTTTATCTGGTCAAGAAAACCAACCACCAAAAAACCCCCGCACGGTTGTATAGCTGGTACCACATCTTGCATTAGTCCTAATGTTAAGTGGGGCAAGGCATCAGAGTGGTTTTTCTCCCTTCTATAGCAGTAGCCAGTTCTGAGATGTACTTTTATAAGACAGAAGTCAGAACCCCACACAAAGGAGACCGATGAATGTGAGTTCCTCAGTAAGTCTGTGCTGGAAGTGTGGTTGCAGTTAATTCAGCAAGTGTCGCCTTTGCTACATTAACACAGTTCCAGAGTGGTGCCAGCCCTGCAAATGAACAGATCCTAACTCTGGCAAGAACACTAGAGACCTAAAACCAAACCATTCAGGAGGCTGGGCTATGCTAACAGTCAGGTAAACCTTGCACCTGTACTAGCCACTTGTTTCCCTGTAACGAATGTGTATTTAAAATGCATTTTTTAAAATGTGCCAGGTCCTCTATAAGCAGAAGAGCTTCTAACATAACCTCTCAGTTTTCTGTGCTTTATGTATGAGCCACTAAGTAATCTTCACTGAATGGCAAAATAGGTCAGGTAGAATGTTTTTGCCTGATGCTTTGCAGCAATTGGAAGTATTTAAATATGCCAACAGAACTGGGTGTTGGCATGGGATAGGTATTTGTTCAGGAATAAAAACCTAATTCCCAGATAAATTACAAAATAACTAGTTACCTTTTGTTTAAGAAATGAGCAGAAATAAGCCTTATTACAGCATAAATCTTTTGCTATCCTTAACAGAGTTGGTTTTGCATTAGCATTCATTGCTGGTTTTTGGAAACATGGATATATGTAAAATACAAGCACAACAAGGTTTGCACTAAGATTTGTGTGTGATTGTAATGCACTACCCTGTAGCATAATTTCATACATGTGTGCAATTAAGGTACACAAATCCAAGTCAACTGTTAGAGCAGTAGTTTGTTACATTGGAATTCAAATGTTTGCTTAGTGTTGGCTATTTCTATGTTTTATAAAACCAAAACAATTTTCAAAACCAATGAAGGAAACCAAAATAAATATTTCTGCATTTCAACTCAGTGAAGTGTTTGTTTATCAAGGAAAGAAGCTGCTGACTAACAAGCTGAGGTGTAATTTGGTAATTCTGACAAGCTATAAAATGCCACTGCTAAACATAATACTTAAAGCAGGATAAATACTGGTTCTTGACACTTTACTTCTGGAAGATAACTTTCTGCTTTGGTCTGATACTTGTGTGTTAAGTTTTTGGCCAGTATCTGTAAGAAAGACGCTATTGTATGTAACTTGCTTCATCAGTATTTTTAAACAAAGAAAAAATCTTTATTTTTGTCTTCAGTATGGTTTCTGACATTAGGTAGTGTTCTTACCATCATCATAAACAACTTTTGAGTGAAATCTGGGGTTTTAAACCCCTTTTCTATTATGCTGCTTTTGGGTGGTAGTTGTCCTTCCTGTGTTGTCATCATTCTTCCACTTCTCTCCCTTACACCACGCATCTGGCTTTAATTGGGTGTATGGTATGAAAGATTTCATGGGTTGATATGTCAAACCACGGTAGATGAAGCATCACTGCCAAGACAGTGCTCAGAGCTCAGTGTTAATGCAGTTGCTAATGTGAAATAAGCAGCACATTGCTGTTTCTAGTCATGGTAAACTTTCTCCCTTTGAGTAATTTTGTATTTTCCTCTATACATTCCCTCCCTACTGAAGGATCTCTAAACCAAATTTTTGTCATGTATTCAGTACCGTATTCAATACCATGTGCTGCTTGGAAAGCTGGAGTGAAGTGTCACCACACATCATCTACTGGAGATGGCTGAGAGCTGGATCTGAGGTTTACGTTCTTCTCACCTCTCTTCAGAGGTGGCTTTCTGGAAGGCTCCTTTCTCTCTGCAGAAACAAAGCTGTACTCTGAGTCTGCACTACTGTTTGTTACCTTCAGCTCCTAGACTGCTACATGGGGCTGGGTGCTGTAGCTAAAAAATAAGTACAAAGAGAACTCAGTCTGTTAAGTTACAAGCTGGTGTTTCACTGTATTTTAGCTTATTTGAGTAGAAGGTGGGAGGGGGCTGCAGCAGGATTTTGGAAGAACACCTTTACCTGCAGGTGAAGAGATGGAGCACGGAAAGGGCTCCTCCAACTAGTAAGATTTGACAAATTGCTACATCTCCTGTTAACAATTTAATTGCTGAATACCTAAATGCCAGAGATATTGAATTACAAGACTTCAATTTGAAGCCTACTTTTTTTGCATGCTACTGTAGCAAGTAATATCTTTGTATGCTTTGAATTCGTTTCTCATTAACTGCTGCAGGGTTTTGACCTTACTTTTACAGATAACCTGGAATCTATCATGTCCACTTGTTTTTCTAGATAGGTAGGAAATCGGAGGCAAGAAGTGTCTTGGCCGGTTTGTGTAATGCCATCCATGCACAGCATCTCTTTATGGCATGTGGGAGGGAGAGAAGAAAACGTGTTTTGGGTGGGTTTGTTGTAGTGTAGAAATCCAGAATGTGCTGCTGCTCAGCACACAACTTGGCTATGCTTGGCCACTGGAAAAAAAACCAAACACAAAAACTCGTTATTTGGAACGGGGAAACAGTCCCTTAAAGTGAAGGGGAGAGGGAAGCAAGCACCTGGCAGCGCACAGGTACCTTGGTTATCCATTTTGAAGCGATCTTCGGTGAGCACTGAAGGTGCGCAAACGCGTTACAGACCGGACGGGCTGGCCCCCTCCTGCGCCCGGCCCCGTCCGCCCACGGCGAGCCGCCGTCAGAGCTTCCCTACGCTCCGCGGCCGCAGGCAGGGGGCGGAGCTGGTCTGTCACCGCCGCTCTCTCAGTTCCCCTTCCGGCGCCGCCTCGTCGCGCCTCCCCTTCCCGCCGGTTGCGCGGCCGGTTTGACTCGCG